AAAAAAAAAAAAAAGAAATAGTATGCTTTAGTTGTTGAAAGCATGTACTCTTGATGCTACGCTACCCTGATTGAAATTCTAGCTTCAGGCTCAGCGCCCATAGCACAGTGGTTATAGTGCCAGTCACATACTGAGGCTGGTGGGTTTGAACCCGGCTCGGCCTAGCTGAACAATGACAACTGCAACAAAAAAATACCCTGGCATTGTGGCCGGCACCTGTAGTCCCAGCTACTTGGGAGGCTGAGGCAAGAGAATCGCTTAAGCTCAAGAGTTTGAGGTTGCTGTGAGCTATGACGCCACAGCACTCCACCCAGGGCGACAGCTTGATACTCTGTCTCAAAAGAAAAAGATAAAGAACTGAGAACCAAGGACCAAGCTTTGGGAAATACCATAATTAAAGGCAGTTATCAATTTTAAGCAGAATCAAAAAGGTTCTGAAGCATAGACATTAAGAGATGATTGTTTAAAATAGTCATCCATTATTGTAGGAAAGCTGAAGGGGGATTGATTAGATGAAATCACTGGAATTAGCAAAAGGGAGACTGCAGATCAAATTGAGTTGAAAACACCCAGTTTGGAAATAGGTGAGGAATATGGAGTCAGAGTGGACCATTTGCCTGAGAAATTTGGCAGTGAAAGTACACTAAATTGATTTGGGTTCTTTATGTACTAAAGTCATTTGAAAAACTGAGCAGTTATATTCTGTGTTCTTCACTGTGGAGTATGTGTGCTGATTTTTGCCTTCTTTCTTCTAGGGTTTCAATCCACCTGTTCTTGTTTTTGTTCAGTCCATCGAAAGAGCCAAAGAACTTTTTCACGAGCTCATATATGAAGGTATTAATGTGGATGTTATTCATGCAGAGAGAACACAGCAACAGGTAAAGTCAAATGTATACTTTCAAAACCCAAAGAACTACTTAATTTTAAATTATTGGCATTAAATGTATGAAGTACCTGTTTTCTATTTTTTGAGTGATACTATACCACTTAATATATATTCTGTTAACCAGAGAGATAACACAGTCCACAGCTTCAGAGCAGGAAAAATCTGGGTTCTTATTTGCACAGCTTTGCTAGCAAGAGGGATTGATTTCAAAGGTGTGAACTTGGTGATCAACTATGACTTCCCAACCAGCTCAGTGGAATATATTCACAGGATAGGTGAGTTGTCTTTTTTTCCTTCATCTCTATTGCCCACTCATCTATCTCAGCTCTATTATTCCCTTCAGGCATGCTCATTTTTTAGTACTATGAAAATTTAGCGACATTTAAATGTGAATCTTGAGAGTCCTTTTTCCCTTTCAAAAAATGTGTTTTTTGTATGGTCTTATTTCTCTTAGGTCGAACTGGAAGAGCAGGGCATAAAGGAAAAGCTATTACATTTTTCACTGAAGATGATAAACCATTATTAAGAAGGTAAATGTGGGAAAATAACTTTGTATTAAATTAGCAAAATTGCTTCATTATTCTTATATGTATATTTAATTAAGAGATAATTAGAAAATGGCTATGTCCCAAACTCTGTCACTGGTGTTAGTCAACTAAATTTTAGCCATGACAAAAGGAAATGATCAAAGGGCCTTGTTTCTGCCCTTCCATCATTAGATTTGGAAATACCGATTCAAAATGGGATAATTCTTTATTAAGTTTCAGACTCACAGGACTCTTCCACTAGCCATCAGTTGATGTTACTTACAATGTCATAGTAAGGTTTTTGAATTAATAGATGGTTTAAGGGTTAATTTCTGAGCCTCTTTCTTCAGCCCAGTCCACATTGTCTCAGTTAACAGTAATGGTGCATCCTCTCTTAAGGGCACATGGGGTTTTATATTTATATTTAGTCCCAGGATCATCTGCCACATAGCAAAAACTTTAATATTACAGTATTATTCAATTATAGCCCTTTAAAGCTAGGATAACATATGATATGCTTTTAGAATCCCAGGTCTTAATTTAGCCTATTATTGTAGATTTTAATACAGAAGTTGAGTTTCATGTATTTTGGTTGATGACAGTTGATAGCACTTCACATATCTAACAAGTGAAATTTAGTTATGGCCAAAGGAAGTTTGTACTTATATTTGCTTATCAGTCTTGGTAAGGATTTTAATTTGTGCCTTTGAGCTCTGTCATCTGTCACCCTTTGTATTTGAGCAGATTCAGATGTACATGTGCAGAGGGTTATATCCAACAGGCTAGATCCGCTGAATGACTCCTCAACAACTCCATGCATGTGAATCTAATGACCCCAATTATCAGAGTAATCTGCACTTAAGTTTTCCAACTCTTGAAATGGAGATAATGATAGTATTTACCACATAGGGTTGTTGCAAGGAATGAATAAGTTACTATGCATGAAAATCTTGGAACAATGCCAACGCATAGTAAGACTGTCACTCAGTAACTTTGACTCTGGCTTCAGTTACTGTTTCCTCCAAGATTGGCCTTAATAGTTTTTTAGGGCTTGATAAATGTTGAAACAGCTGCTATCTAAAGTTATTCATTGTCATGCTTTAAAAAGGGCTGTAGTTAAAAAAATAAAGTTATTCATTAATGCATTGATTTCAGTCCAGTGGGTTCTCTTAGTAATCTACTGTGCTTACATCTGGGTGATAATCAGTAATGTATCAGAATGCTTTTTCTGGATTACTTTATGCAGTTTCTGTTCCTCTCATGTTGTATAGAGTGTCATAAACATCAATTTGACAAAATACAAGTTTGTTTGTGGGTTCCTTTTTTTCAGTGTCGCCAATGTTATACAACAGGCTGGGTGTCCTGTACCAGAATACATAAAAGGATTCCAAAAACTACTAAGGTACAATCTTGAATCTACCTGGATCCTCTCTGTTTCTTCGTGTGTACATTCTTGGTTTTGTTTTGGATTTTTGTTTCCTTGCCTCTTTATTTTAATTTTATACTGTACACATATGTCTCTAGATAGTACACTGTTTAATTTTATCAGGTTTTGATCTTATATAAATGGTATCAAGCTAGACATGTTTTTTGCTCACTTGTTATTCTTGCCCAACACTTAGTTTTTTGTTATTTTTTTCAATTTTTTTTTTATTTTGGTAAATCCATATAACCATCTTTAACCTTTTTTTTGAAAGAGAGGATCTTGTTCTGTTTCCTGGGATGAGTGCAGTGGCGTCATCAAGCTCACTGCAACCTCATATTCCCAGGTTCAAGTGATCCTCCTGCTTTAGCCTTCCCAAGTAGCTGAGACTATAGGCATGCTTCACTACGTCTGTCTTCTTTTTCTTTTTTTTTTTGTAGAGATGTGGTCTCACTGATTGCCCAGGCTGGTCTGGACCTCCTGGCCTCAAGTAGTCCTCCTGCCTTGGCTTCCCAAGGTTAAATTAGGGTTATAGGTGTGACCACCGTACTTGGCCTATCTTAACCATTTTTAAGTATTCGGTAACATTAAGTGCATTCATACTCTTAAACAACCGCCACCACTATCCATCTCTAGAAGCTTCATCTTGCAAAACTGAAACTATGTACCCATTAAACAGGAACGCCCTGTTCCTTTCCCACTCTCCAGCCCCTGACCTCATTCTGCTTACTGTTTCTGTGATTTTGACTATATCTCATATAGATAAAATCATACAGTGTTTGTCTTTTTGGCTTATTGCACTTAGCATATATGTTCAAGGTTCATCTATGGTGGTTTCTTGGAGGGGATTTTTGAGACAGAGTCTCACTTTGTTGTCCTTGGTTGAGTGCTATGACATCATAGCTCACAGCAACCTCAAACACTTCAGCTCAAGTGATCCTCTTGCTTCAGCATCCAAGTAGCTGGGATTACAGGTGCTCACCACAACACCTAGCTAGTTTTTCTATTTTTAGTAGAGACGAGGTCTCACTCTTGCTTAGGCTGGTCTTGAACTTCTGAGCTCAAGCAGTCCACCTGCCTGGGTCTCCCAGAATGCTAGGATTACAGGTGTGAGCCACTGTACCCTGCTGCTTTTAAGCATTTGAATACTGTCATTTCTTTGTCATTTTTTTATCCTTGAAATTTGAAATACTCAGACTTGTAAATTTTGTGAGTGAAATATGCTTAGAATTAGTTTATAAAACTGATAAAAAGCAGGTAATTGAAGTCAAAGTCTGATGTCTATTGACATATAATATATTTTCATCACAATCAGTACCTTTTACAAAAGTTGATTAAATTTATCATCCCTTTGGGTTAGCTCTCTAAATTCTATTCAGTAATCTATTAAAGCATATACAGCTTCACCTTAAACCAGTGGTTTAAAAAAATTAATTTTGTGATCAAGAATCAAAACTAATTTTTAGCTTTTGCTCTTCTAAATCAAGTTGTACTTAATTTATTTCCTCTTTTACTTTTTAACTTTCAGCAAAGAAAAGAAAAGGATGATTAAGAAGCCATTGGAAAGGGAGAGCATTAGTACAACTCCAAAATATTTCTTGGAAAAAGCTAAGGATAAACGGTAAGTACGTGATAGGAAACACTGCTGTTTGAGTCCATCATACAATTTTGTTAAAGTTTTAGAAGTAGAATCGATAGCTGTATAGTCCACTATAAAATGTCATAATGGGCTCGGCGCCTATAGCTCAACAGGCTAAGGCGCCAGCCACGTACACCTAAGGTGGCGGGTTCGAATCCCCAGCCCGGACCCGCCAAACAACAATGACGGCTGCAACCAAAAAATAGCCGGGCGCTGTGGCGGGCACCTGTGGTCCCAGCTACTTGGGAGGCGGAGGCAGGAGACTGGCTTGAGCCCAGGAGTTGGAGGTTGCTGTGAGCTGTAATGCCACGGCACTCTACCCAGGGGGACAGCTTGAGGCTCTGTCTCAAAAAAAAAAAAAAAAAAAAAAAAATGTCATAATGAATATATCACTATATAAATATATATATATATATATATATAAATGTAATATTTATCTTAGGTTGCCTGTAATTTGGGGACTTGGATGATTTAATCTTAAAATTTTTCTTTATCTGTGGATGAATGATTTTTTTTCCATTTTTGAAAATATGATTTTAATTCACTATGAATTAGAATTGTTCTGTCTGCCACCTTTGTATAGCCTACATTAGGACATGCTAGTAAGACCAATTGTTAGGACCATTGAATGAATGAATCAAGTCTTCCTTGGAACTCCATAGTCTGGGAAGGATTTCAGTATGATCTTAGGCTTATGCAAAAGCACACTGTAATAGCCATAAAAAGTCTTACTTGAGTAAATTTATAGTCTCTTAGTTGCATTTTGTGAGAATTTTAAAGCGTAGATTTTTTTAGCATAAAAAATATAGAGCAACCTTATTTTGCCAGATAATAACTAACAAGCTACATACACATTTTGATAGGGGGAGGCCAAAATATTCTGAAGAGTACAACTCTTTCCACAACTTAAGGAAAATGGCACTCTTCAAATCCTACCATTACCAGGGTTAATATATGCTCTAATATAACAACTATTCAATTCTAATAATTTTTTTATTGTGTATCATTCAATTCTAATAATTTTTTTATTATGTATCTGAGAGTGCCATCAATGGTTTAGGATACTAACAATGTGAAATTAAGGGCAGCACCCGTGGCTCAGTGGGTAGGGCACCATGGGGTGCCAGGTTTAAACCTGGCCCCAGCCAAACTGCAGCAAAAAGTAGCCAGGCGTTGTGGCAGGCACCTGTAGTCCCACCTACTCAAGAGCCTGAGGCAAGAGAATCACCTAAGCCCAAGAGTGGAGGTTGCTGTGAGCTATGACGCTACAGCACTCTACGGAGGGTGATAAAGTAAGACTCTGTCTCTTAAAAAAAAAAAAAAAAGTGAAAGTTAAGTTACTGCTTATTTCCATTACTTTACAACTGTTTTGTGGAAGTCATTAGAAAAACTGTTTCTATCAATCAGCTGGCATTTACCATGTTGTCTGCAAGGTACTTGGTGGTGGTCAGGTATACAAATGAATATACACCAGGTGCCAAAAAAAGTGTATACACATTTTAAGAAAGGAAGAAACTGTGTTAAAATTATAATCCTCAATACATATTGATAACAAAATATGATTACAAATCACATTTGAGCATGTCTTATAATTGCAGAAGTCAAATTGACTTGAGTATTACAATTTTAATATGAGTTTTTTGTTTCTCAATATGTATATACATTTTTTTTGGTAACTTCTGTGTAATAAAATGAGACCCCTTTCCTAAAGTTAGGGAAAGGAGGTTAGTATAACATGAAAACAAATTAGAAAATTATTTTTTAATAAAAAGGAGTTTAAAGAAGGGAAAGATCATTGTGGATTGATGCAGTTATAGAAAGTATAAAGGCAGCAGAACTATCTTTAAGGATAGGTAAAATTTAAGTATGTAGAAGGAACAAAGTCATGAAGACTGGAATCTACTTTTCTTGCAAGTAGAGTAAGATTCTTACTTGACATTTTGGTATTGACTGTTCAGTTCAAGAATATACAGTGTACAAGTATTCCAAAATTTTATTGCACTTTTAAGCTTTAATAACTTGGGAAAAATAAATGCTACAAACATCTTTCATTTAAATTTTCTGTGGTGACAGTTGGTGGAAAACATTTAGAGAAGGTCATTATGCTTGGCACCTGATCTTAGGTAATTGTGATTTTCTGAAGGGTAGAGACCATGTCTAATGCATCATTGTGTTCCTAGTGCCTCGTGTATTTGACAAATTGTAGGTTTCAATAAGGGTTTATTAAACTGTTAATAGAATTATAGAAAGTAAGTATGGTAAAATTTATGATTCAGCTTTCCTTTTCTTTTCACAGGAAAAAGGTCAGTAGTCAGACTAGCAAGAAGAAAGTAGCTCTTGAAGATAGACATTAAAAACAGACTTTTTAAAAGATTACCCCAGAAACGTAATTTTACGATCCCAGCGTGAAAGTTAATTGTCGTGGATTATTTCAAGTCTGACAGTCCACTTATACCAAACATTTGAATCAACTACAAGCACATGGGACTGGTAAAGAATGATTCTAAACTATCAGTGCATCATGTCAAATTTCAATCTATAGGTGACTTTTAAATTAATTATACAATGGAAGTAACATTCATTGACATTTCTGTGATTTGGATCCAGAGAGATACTTCTTATAGAAGAACAAAAGCTTATGCTAAAAATAACAACACCCAAATGTGGTGAACTCTTAAGGATTTTTCCCTTCAAGTATGAAGGAAGATGTGCTGTATGCTGTGGATTGGCATCTGGGACAGAATTTCAAAATAAAGCCGTGGCATGTACTCTCCATCACTCAAACACTTTTGTTATTTTTAGTGGGTGGGCAAAAATAGCCAGGAAGAAACCTGCTGTTCTCCTTATTTTAATATTTCCTAATTTATTGATGGCCTTTTCAGGTGTGAGTCTATTAAATATACTTATATAAATATATTAAGTATCCTTATTGGTAAGGTAGCTCAACTACAAGATTATGATCAACCTCTCCTTCATTTTCCAAGGTCTTTTCTATGTCTTTCCATTTAAGAGGATTTTACTTGAACACTGATAAACATTTTATTCTGATAAGGAGGAATGTTCCTGTTACTTGATACACCACTGGCTTCATTCTCTTACAGCTTATTTGTCCTGAGACTTAATGTCCCTTCAGCCATGTAAAAAGCAGTTCTCTGCCAAAAGTAAACGATTATTATCATATAGTGATGGAAACTGTTTGCTATTAGCAGATTTTTCTTAATTGCTAGTTTTGTACAGTGGAATAAAAAGATTGACTTTATACATGTAAGGTATGAAGTGTCTTATAATGAATACATGAATGTTTCTACATATTAATACTGTCACAAAACTATAACACAGATAAACTCTTCTCAGCAGAATCTGAACTCAGCAGAACTTTTTTTTCTTTACTTTCAGCTTTTTATTCTAGAGTCAGGACAGATAGACTCGCTCTTGAGTATTTCAAATGAGACAAAAATTGTTTATCTTCAGGATTTATTTAAATAAAGACTATAGGCTCGGCACCTGTGGCTCAAGTGGCTAAGGCGTCAGCCACATACACCTAAGGTGGCGGGTTCAAATCCAGCCTGCCTGCCAAACAATGATGGCTGCAACCAAAAAATAGCCAGGCGTTGTGGAGGGCGCCTGTGGTCCCAGCTACTTGGGAGGCTGAGGCAGGAGACTCGCTTGAGCCCAGAAGTTGGAGGCTGCTGTGAGCTGTGATGCCATAGTACTCTACCCAGGGGGACAGCTTGAGGCTCTGTCTCAAAATAAATAAATAAATAAAGACTACAGCAATTGGTATAAAGAATACCTATAAGAACATGATTTTTTGTTCTTGCAAATAGATCCTTAACTCATATACTCCGGAAGTAGTTATATTGGTATGGTCCATTTGCTAGCTGTGTGAATGAATAACTTCTTAGTCTCTTAATGCTTCCATTTTTTATCTATGAAATTGTCTGTATCAAGACTGGAAGTACCTAGCACTGTGTCTGAAACAGTACACTCACAACAAATTTTCTTTCAACAAACATTATAGATTTTGTTAGGAGTACAGGCTTTATAACACAGTCCCTCCCCTTACAGTGTAATGGTAGAAATAAGTAAAGGAACATACAATCGTGTGTCACTTATTGATAGATACATTCTAATACATGCATCATGGGGTGATTTCCTCATTGTGTGAACATTGTAAAGTATGCTTACACAAACCTAAATGATGCAGCCTATTACACACATAGGCTAGGCTACAAACCTATATACCATATTACTGTCCTAAATACTGTAACACAATGTTAAATATTTATTTCAACATAGAAAAGGAACAGTAAAAAAGATGATATAAAAGATAGCTGGTATACCAGTATAGAACACTCACCATGAATGGAACTTGCAGGTCTGGAAGTTGCCCTGGGAGTCAGTGAGTGAATGGTGAATATGTATGTGAAGGCCTAGGATATTACTGTGCACTGCTTTAGACTTTATAAACACTACACTCTACACTACATGCATTAAAAAATATTTCTTCAATTATAAATTTAATTTTTTTTAACTTTTTGACACTTGCAATAACACTTAAGTTCAAGTATAAACATTGTACAGCTCTACAAAAATATCTGCATTATAGTCTTATCGTATAAGCCAGGCGTCCTCAAACTATGGCCCGCAGGCCACATGCAGCCCGCCTAGGACATTTATCCGGCCTGCCACCGCTGCCTGTCCTGCTTAGCAGCCGACTGGTCCCAGGGCCCACAGTCTGGCCCTATAATGGTCTGAGGGACAGTGAACTGGCCCCCTGTTTAAAAAGTTTGAGGACCCTTGCATAGGCCAAGTACAGTGGCTCCATACCTATAATCCTAATACTCTGGAAGGCTGAGGTGGGAGGATCCCTTGAGCTCAGGAGCTAAGAGACCAGCCTGAGCAAGAGCAAGACCCTGTTTCGACGAAAATGAGAAAAGTAAGGTGGGCCTTATGGCAGGCACCTGTAGTCCCAGCTACTTGGGAGGCTGAGGCAAGAGAATCACTTGAACCAAAGAGTTTGATGTTGCTGTGAACTAAATTGACACCATGCACTCTAGCCTGGGCAAAAGAGTGAGTGAGTCTTAAAAAAAAAATTCTTACTCTATAAAATATTTTGAATTTTTTTACCTTTTGAACTTTTTTTATTAAAAACTAAGACAAAAACATTAACCTTCCCCATTAACAAAGGATTAGGAACATCAGTATCACTGTCTTCCACATCTTTATCCTACCATTGTAAATGCTGTCCATAGCTGACTGAAATGTCATTACGAGGTACATGACTAATGTAGCAAGTGCTCTGTAAGATCTGAGGTCATGATGCTGAAGCCTCACAAGTGGCCTTCCAACCCAGATTGGGGATGTCATGGAAAGCTGGCATCTTGGCTCGGCACCTGTGGCTCAAGCGGCTAAGGAGCCAGCCACATACACCTAAGGTGGCAGGTTCGAATCCAGCCTGGGCCCGCCAAACAACAACGGCTGCAACCAAAAAATAGCTGGGCATTGCAGTGGGTGCCTGTGGTCCCAGCTACTTAGGAGGCGGAGGCAGGAGACTCACTTGAGCCCAGGAGTTGGAAGTTGCTGTGAGCTGTGATGCCACAGCACTCTACCCAGGGGGACAGCTTGAGGCTCTGTCTCAAAAAAAAAAAAAAAAAAAACGAGAAAGCAGGCATCTTGAATTAAATCCTGCAGATACAGAAATCAAGAGGCAAAGAAGAGGGACAAAGTATTCCAGGCACAGGCCGAGGTTTCATCATCTATAATCCCTGATTTGACTTATTTTCCCCTATGTAAGCACTGATCAGTAAATAAAGTTTCTAGAGAAACCTCTACCAACTTGATTTGTCAAGCTATTAATGCTGAATTTAGAGCCCTTAAAGCATTTGGAACTATCTGCTACATAAATTTCAGTTTTGCCCAAAGGGGAGGAGTGAAGTTTGTGACAGTTACAAAAAACGCTTACAATGAACAGCTGCCTGAAATAAGCCAGGACTCTATGGAATCAAACTGGCCAGAGTTTGAGTCCTCGTTCTACTTGTAGCAGGTGTTTGTGTGAACACAAATGATATTAACTCCTTAACTTTGACTTTCTTGATTCGCCCAACAAATGATAACTTACTACACACTCCAGTAATAAAAAAGCTAGTCATAATTTGTTACTTGCTACTAAGCAAACTACTTGAAGACTTTAAAGTTTACACTATTATATTTTACGCCCAGATAGTAGTTTCATTAGGAAAAAATCACAGTAAAAATTATGAGCAGATAGGTTCAGAGTAATTACGAACTGCTTTCCAAACCGTTGTTTTGACCTTACAAGAACACGGTGGTGGTGGTACAATGGCAGAACCAAATACAAGAGAATAGCACGTCTTGGAGGCTTTTTACGAGGACTGGGTTTATGTGCTCGTGGTTGGTTTGCTAAAGTAATTTTAAATACCTTCACTGGCTCGCGTGGGTGTCAAAGGAACCTGCAGAGTTCCAAGGAAAGGGTAGAGAGCTGATTACAAATCGGTGCAATGAGGCTATCAAAGGGTCATCCAAGAACCATCTATTCCTTATGAGTAAAAAAGTAACAATGAAAGAACACCTGTGTACCCACCATCCAGTTTAAAACTACTCTTTCCACTAATCGAAATGACAGTTTTCAGAGGAGTAACTGCACCTTGCCGCTCAGCCGTCAGCTGGGCCCTGCCGAGAGCCTTAGCCAGACAATGAATAAGCTCCCCGGGAGGGGCGCCCAAAACCGCCCACCAGCCCCAGAGGTATAACCGCACCTGACGGGGCACCTGCCGCCCTGGATCACGTGACGAGGGTGCACCGCCCCTCCCGCGGGCCGCGGAGTCACGTGTGGCAGAGGTCCCGCCCCTTTCTGCGGTCCGCGGCGAGGTGGGGCCTGGCGTGTGCCCCGGAAGTGGCTGTCTTCCCCTGACAGCTGCTGATCGGGAGGTGGAGGCGGCGGCGGAGCTGGAGCAAGATGGCGCTGCGGCCGGGAACGGGAGCTGGTGGCGGCGGGGCCGCGGGAGCCGGCGCGGGGGCCGCCGGGGGAAGCAGGTGGGTGTGCAGAGCCGAGTGGCGGCCCTGTGGGATTCCTCCTGACCGCCGGAGCGGGGCTGGCCTACGCAGCGGCGAGGGTGCTTGGCGGTTATGGCGGTTTTCGCCAGATCCGACCCTCTTCCTTGGAACCGGGCTGCGGGAGAGGGGTCGTCCTCTGGGGACCCGGGCGGAAGGGGGCAGGTGGAGCCCGGGCGCCCGACGTCCGTGTTCCAGGCTTGGCACATCGGCTGCTCGATCCAGCGGGGAGCGGGCGCGCGCCCTGGCGCGGAGACGGGGGACGGAGCAGCGGAGGGTCCGCTTGGGGGGTTTGGGCACGAGAAACCCCGACTCCTCTCCCAGTCCTGGCTGCATCTGAACCAAGCATAGTCTTCCTTTTCCCAGGGCATTCCGAGCTTGACAAGAGCTATTAGGGAGAAGAAGGCTTTGAAAAATCTCTTCACAAAGCTAGGGAAACTGTTTCCAAGATGTGTACGATTTGTCTTTTCCCCTTTTACAAAGTCCTGTCCTCCTCTTTATTTCCTAACACGCTACAAAGAGCAGGAAAATCTAAAGGCCTTTGACTAGTAATTGTCTTGAGTTAGAGCTCTTGGCTTGTGGCAGTAATTCTCGAGATTTCTGACTCCCCTTTTAAAAGGGTTTTTAAAAACAAAAGAAAAATTCACTGTCAAGCAGCAGTTACGCATTTATTAGAACAAAGCTTCTGGACTTTTACTTAGCTCTTAAACAAATCTGCCCTTTGTGGTATTTCAGCTATTAATTGCCTGTGGTTCTTACACTCCAGTCGGTAAAGAAGATGTACTTCTGCAACTTGACAAGTGCATTGTCATTTAAGGAAATATTTTATTCCAGAAAGTTTTCACCCCACTTTTTTATAGAAGTGACCTAGTCTGATTTTGTTTCATTAGCTTACACACATTCGGGAATAAAATTAGCCTTTAATCTTCAGTATCCTGAATTATCTTTGGAAAACGAAGTGTTAGTTTTTTGATATACAGTTTTAATTTTGGAATCATGCACGCTACAAAAGTGTGAGGTCTTTAAAGTTATCACCTCTTGCAGGTGCTTGAAACAAGAGCAGTTTCTGTTCAATAAACTACTTGTATGCAGCTCCATTTTTCATTTCCTCTGAGCATCATTGACTTTAGATTTTAAACTTTTTACTTTCTCTCTTGTTTTCACTGTTTCATTAAAGGTTTTCATAAATATGGCAGAAGTCAGCTTCTGGCTGGAGAAGAAAAATACATAATAATCTCTCTTCTGTTTCTGTTTTATATATGATGACAGTTTCGGAAAAGTTCCTCAGTGGCATTAATGTGACTGAGTATATGATTAATCATGGCACCTGGTTCTGAGAAAATATTTGAAATTCCAGGTCCACCTTTTTATTTGCTTTTAAAAAAGATATTTTTGGGTGAGGAAGAGCTCAGGTACAGAAAACTGAGTGGATCATTCCCTCATTTGAATGGAGAAAATCGGTGAGCTGTAACTCCCCATATATCATACATAGGCTTTATAGAGTAGGCTCTGTTCTTAGAGCTTGAGCAAAACACAGGGACGTTTTCCAGATTTAATATTAGCCTATTTGATTCGCATCCTGAGTGGGCTTCTTTGGAATAAATGGTAAAGCTATATAAAGGGAAAAAAACTCCAAGAGATAAGAAGTATAATTTTTTTTTCATAAAGTAAGGCAGAAGAAAAAAAGAATTGAAAGATCTGTATTAGTTTATAGTCATTCAACTGGTAGACACTGAATACTTACAGGAGTAAGGAATAAGTTAATGCTATAAATAACTAAAAGTATATCTAAGACATGACTAACATCATGGGAGAATGTACAGAATAACTGGTACAAGGTGAGGGAGAACAAAGAGGTCACATCCTTCTGGAGTATTATCATTTGTGAGCTTGTCTATTTCTTCCTGCTCTTTTATAAGCATGTCTGTGGGCTTCCTCATCTTACACTGCTTTCAGGACATATTTTGCATATACTAATAGAAAACATTCTGCATATTTGTGAATTTCAGCCATAGTGAAGGCAAAGAAAAGATTTTAGCTGGGCAACTGAGGTGAAGGTCGAGGAGGGGAGTCCAGAGATTGTCATAGAAATGGGAAGGCCCAGTGGACACTACCCGAGCACCACACCTGCAGAGCCAGATCGACTGTGGCACTGAACGGAGAGGAAGAGTTTTATGAAATAAAACTGAGAAAGGTGTTCCAAAATACAGAGCCTTGCATTTAAACTAAGGAAATTCATTATTTTAACTCCAGGAGTCATCTTCCTAAAGGACCATGTAATAATTTAATAATGGTTCTTTCCAACGATGTATCTCACCTGGCTGCATGAAGTGCATTCGAAACCACAGAATCTGGAAGGGGGATATCCATTAGGAAGTCTTTATGTAGGAGTTCAGGCTGGAGAAATGAATACTGGTAGCAGAGGCACCTGAAAAGGAGGCGTAGATGAGACAGCATGTGACAAATAGAGCTCACAAATCTGCTTTCATCCTGAAACATAAGTAGTGCAAGAATTCATGGCTTTAGCTTTGAAATCAAATTGTTGGTTATCTTGCTGACCAGATTTTTGCCGAGCATCTGCTGTCTTATCACTGTTTTAGCTACCTGTCTAATCAGCCTTTGGGCATCTTGATATTATTTATCTAAATACTTCAGAGAATCATATGATTAGTACATAGATCACTAAGCAGTTTGGGTTGCACAATTTTTCCTACAGTGAATCGTGTTTATAGTGTTAATTTTGTTTTGTCTTTAAAGTAACCTTTCCTATCTCTTCGTGTGTTCTTTGTGATTTACTTAGTCGGGACCTAGGCATACTTTTGGTTCTGCGTCCTCATTTGACAGGGGATGAAGGGGATTGCACAGAGCTTTGAAGTTACTTTATGGCAGAGCTGGAAAAAAGAAAAACTTACGTGTAACACAAGTTTCCAGTTTTTAGTAAGCCATACTGGTAATTTAAATCTTCAAAGCTGATTTTTTAAAATCTTGAAGGTCGATTATATAAATCATTCATTGCTCCTAAATTATCAGCGTTAAGTATATAAATCAGTGGTTCTCAACCTTCCTAAAGCCATGACCCTTTAATACAGTTCCTCAGTTTGTGGTGACCCCAACTATAAAATTATTTCCATTGCTACTTCATAACTGTAATTTTGCTACTGTTATGAATCACAATGTAAATATCTGATATGCAGGATGGTCTTAGGCGACCCCTGTGAAAGGGTCGTTTGACCACCCCCCCCTCAGGGGTTGTGACCCACAGGTTGAGAACCGCTGATATAAATAATGTCTTTAAAAATTGAGTTTAAGCATACCTCATTTCATTGCACTTCACAGGCACTGGTTTATTTTATAAATTGAAGGTTTGAGGTACTCCTATATTGAGCAAGTTTATTACCACCATTTTCCAGCTGCAGGTGGTCATTTCATGTTCTTTGTCTCATTTTGGTAATTCTTGCAATATTTCAAACTTTTTCCTTACTATTACCTGTTATAGTGACCAGTGATCTTTGATGATGTAATTTTATGTTGGGATGCCAGGAACTCCACCCATGTACAACTCTAAACTTAGCTGATAAATGTTTTATGCATTCTGAATGTTCTACCAGCTAGCTGTTCTCCCATCTCTCTCCCTCTTCTCAGGCCTCCTTGTTCTCTGACACAAAACAATCTGGAATAAGGACAATCAATAGCCCTACAATGGCCTCTCTAAGTGTTCCAGTGAAAGGAAGAGTTGCCCCATCTCTTACTTTAAATCAAAAGCTAAAATGATTAAACTTAGTCATTAATCACATTAAAAGCAGAGACTGGCCAAAAGCTAGGCATCTTGCACCAAGTAGTCAAGTTGTGAATGCAAAGGAAAAGTTCTTGAAAGAAACTAAAAGTGCTATTCCAGCGAACACAAGAATGATAAGAAAGTGAAACAGCCTTATTGCTGATACAGAGAAAGTTTTAATGATCTGAGTAGAAAACCAAACTAGGCAAACATCCCCTTAAACCAAAGCCTAATCCAAAGTAAGGTCCTAACTTTTGGATTCTGTGAAGGTTGAGAGGTGAGGACACTGCAGAAGAAAAGTTGGAAGCTAGTAGAAGTTGGTATATGAGATTTATGAGATGGTATATGAGGAAAGAAGCAGGCTGTATAATAGTGCAAGGTCAGCAAGTGCTGTCACAAGCTGTTCATAAGATCTCATGAAGGTAATTGATGAAGGTGGTTACAGTAATTTTCAAGGTAGACAAAATAGCCTTCTCTTGGGAGAAGATGCCATCTAAGACTTTCATAGAGAGGAGAAATCAATGCGTGACTTCAAAGCTTCAAAAGACAGGATGACTCTCTTTAGAGACTAATGCAGCTGGCAACTTTAAGTTGAAGCCAGTGCCATTTGCCATTCCTAAAATCCTTGGGCCTTTAAGAATTATGCTCTGGGCCTTTAAGTGTACTCTGCCTGTGCTCTTATAAGGAACAACATGATTTACAAAATATTTTAAGCCCATTGTTGAGACCTACTGCTCAGAAAAAAAGATTCCTTTCAAAATGTTGCTGCTCATTGACCATGCACCTAGTCACCCAAGAACTCTGATGGACATGTATAAAGTGGTTAGTGTTGCTTTTATGCCTGTTGACACATTATTCATTCTTCAGTTCATGGATCTCCTTTCAACTTAAGAAAGTTGTTATTTAAGAAGTACATTTCATAAGGCTTTAGCTACCATAGATTCCTACTGGATTTGGGAAAATTAAATTGAAAACTTTCAAGAAAGGATTCACCATTCTAGATGCCATTAAGAACATTCAAGATTCAGCTCAGCGCCTATAGCTCAACCGGCTAAGGCGCCAGCCACGTACACCTAAGATGGCGGGTTCGAATCCCCAGCCCGGACCCGCCAAACAACAATGACGGCTGCAACCAAAAAATAGCCGGGCGTTGTGGCGGGCGCCTG